TTTTTGCCTCCGGGTTGTGAGTCACCGGTTTGACCGGTTGGGTTTAAGGTTCTGACCATCTCACGTCATCGCATATATATGTCTGTGTATATATAAATATATATTTTAGCAATAAATAATGTATAAATATAGTTAGATATGTTATATGTATTATTTTATATTTAACTTATATTTTTTAATTTTTTATTCATAAAAATATTAAAAATTGCTATTTGAGACTAAAAAAGGCTTTTTTTTTTGCAAAAATTGCAGGGCAAGGCACCTATGGCTCCGCATAGATCTCGAAAAGTTACCCAAAAAAAATCACCCCAATCGAATATCGGAATGTAAAGTTATGGCCTCCAACAGTTTGTATGCATTGATTATGTAACTCGCAACCTGGTCACCAGATCGAATAGGTCAACAACCGAACCAACTAAGTCAATTGGTTCTTGACCAAGTCAACAGTTTTGACTGTTTGATAGGTCTTGACTGAACCTGACCTATAAACCTTGTTAGGTGATCAACCTAGAAAATAGAATCTTATATATATATATATATATATATATATATATATATATTAATACGAAAAGGGTGGTCTCCCCTTTCGCCAAGTGGCAGTAATTAAATTACTGCCATTAATTACTGATTATATTAACATGGTTTTAATTACTGATTATGGAGTGGTTTCCCCTTTCGCCAAATGGTAGTAATTTAATTACTTCCATTACCGATTATTTAATTACTGATTATGATTAATTACCGATTATAATTATTAACCATTACTGATACTAACTATATAGTCAAACCTGATCTTATTTATAAACCCGGTTTAGATAAATACTATTATCTATTTATTTTAACCCGGTTTTAATAATTACTGATTATTACAGTAATTTAATAAATATATAATTAGTAATTATAATTAATAATTACTGTTATTATAAATATTGTTAATAAATAGATATTTACTTTAAATTAAAATTATAAATACTGTTAATAAATTTAGTAATTATTGTTATGTTAAAAATAATTAAAAATGTTATTAAAAGTATTGTTATTGATTATTTAATAAAATATTATAATTACTGACTATTACTGATATATAAATACTGTTAATTTAATTTAATTTTGGTAATTATTAATTTAATCAATATTGTTGACAAATCCTATTCATAAATTTAATAATTACTATTATATTAAAAATAACTAAATAATATTATAAAAACGATAATTACTGATTATTTGATAAAATATTATAATAACTTGCTATTATTGATAAACACTGTTAATAATTAAATATTTAATAAATAATGTTAACAAAAATCAGCAAAAATAAATGTTTGTCTTTTTGCTTATTGAATTTCTTTGGTTTAAATTTTTGGGTTTTGTGCTTTGAAGATTGTTACATAATGTTAGTTAAAAGTGCTATTTGCATTTAGCTCAATGAATTGCTTCAAGGTTCTAAATATCAACATGGGCTGATACACCCTGTGTTGGTGCTTTTTTTTTATGTTTTACATATTTTTTTTGAAACCGGTTCAGAGAGGTCGATTTAAGGCCTGGCTACCCTCTGAACTAGTGGCTGACCAATACAACCCCTATAGGGGCGTATCGGAAAGCCACCGGCACGATACGTATCGACCGATACGTGTCGATACTTTGAACCTTGAATTTTTTTGGTTTACATTTATAGATTTTGTGCTTTGAAGATTGTTACATATTGTAAGTTAAAAATATTGCTATTTGGTTTCTTTTTTGAAATTTGATAACTATTATACCTAAAAGTGTCAAATAATGTAACAATAACAAATGTCAAATAATTATAAAAATTATCAAATATAAATTAAAAGAAATTACCATCATTAGACATAAATTACCAATATTTATAAAAAAATTACTAAAAGTAAATCAAAAGAAATTATCACAAATTAGTAGACTTTAGGATGATAATTACTTGAAATTATCAAATAACATAATCCTAAATGCATTAAAATAATTTTCCAAAAATTATTATTAATTAGTAGAAATGTCCAAAAATAGCCACTAAATTCTATAAAATCGATAAATTACTATAATTTACCAATAAACTATCATATAATAAATATAATACATTAGTATATATTTACCAAGAAATTAGTATATAATAGAAATTACCAGAAATTAGTAGAAATTATATAATAGAACTAATTTCCACTAATTGACCAATAAACTGTCATATAATAAGTATATATTGACCAAGAATTCTCATAAATCAGTATAATAGAAATTACCAGAAAATAGTAGAACTTAGCCAAAAATAACCTCTAATTTCCATAAAATATTATATTTACCAAGAATTATCATAAATTATTATATAATATAAATTACCAGAAATTAGTAGAACTTAGGGAAAAATAATCACTAATTTCCATAAGGTATGATAAAATAGATGAAATTAGTATAGCTTTGTAAAAATAACCATTAAATTCCAAAAATTAGTAGAACTTAGAATGATAATTTATCAAATAATATGAATCTAAATAAATTACAATAGTTTGTCAAAAATTGCATTTCATTTTCCCGTGCATCGCATTGATCCCCGCTAATAACTTTGAACACGGTTTCTGGGTCAGCAATTCAACTATCTGGGTAAAACAGTTGAACATTTAAGCACAATATTTATTTTACGTCTTACCTTTGGATTGGAACATTTAAGCACAATACTTGTAGACAAAAAAGAAAAAGAAAAAACCATCGAATGGGATTAAAATAAATAACCCTTTATAATTTTTTTGTATTTTCTTTTAAATTTAAACGTGACCCACGAACCACTGATCAGGTTCGAACAGTTCAATGATTCAATTGTCCATGTGAATAGTTTTTTTTTGTGCAAACTGCAAAGCGTAATCGGATTCGAAAACATGACCAGTTATCAGTTTCGAATGATCCTACCGTCCAGAAATTGACCTGCTCACCTATAGCAGTAGTCCAGATCAGGTAGTCATACAATGCTGTGGGGAGCACACTGAGTAACCATTTACAAATTTTTTTGTCGCCTATCCCTTAAAATAGATATCCCCAGTCTATCCTTGAAAAAGATTAAAAATTACCTTTTTTTTTAATATAATTGTCAGAATATTTATTAAGTACTTATTGAAAGTGATTACAATGCACTCTTTTGAGGTCGAAATATAATTTAAATACTGCATGAACCAAAGGCATAGTAACATGCATGTTGATACATGAAGCATAAACTGCAAATAGGGTGCACTACTGCATTGACTCAAGATGGGTTGCCTTGGGTTGAGTTCAACCTTAGTCTAACCCCATGTGTCAAAACCTCAATCTTAAACCCTAGCCCAAGTTTCAAGCCTAACTCTAACCCAAATCCCTCAGTCTTACCATTACCAAAATTACAAATGCATGTATAAATGTATGTTGGTTAGATGGTTTTTAAAACTGAACCGGTCAAGAGTCCGGTTATCGGTTTGAACAGTTCAACCCGAACGGCTAGCCCCTTTTAAAAAAAATTAAAAAATAGTCAAAACGGTTCGAACGATTCACCAACCGGTTCAGTGGTTTGCTGAAAAACGGAATCAATCAAGTGACTGATTCCTGATTTTTTCAGTCTGACCATCCAATCCGGTCCGATTTTGAAAACCATGATTGGTTATACATGACTTAGACTTACAATAAACCACCTTTCCCTATCATTTCTCCCCTTTCCCTATCATTTCTCCCACCCCCCTCCCCCCACATGAATTCATAAATCGAAGTATAATATACAAGAATATATATAATTGCAAATGCAAATTAGAGTGATGCCAACATACCAGTATTTCCCAATAAGTTCAAGGCATCACATGAATTGATTTTTTATTTCTGATGTATTAGCATTCCATTGGGAGTGGCATCCAATGCAGCCTCGGGAAATGTTTTACAAGACATAATTGCAAATCTAGTCAACTTCATATCAGGAAGCCTAACCCAATCCCTTTCCCAACTCAAAGTTGCAACTCTAATTAAGATATTGTTAAAATGTAAAAACTATTTGGTACTCACATCAGCCAAAATCATTGCTATCACTTCTTTCACCAAGTTAGTGTGATTTTGTTGTTTTCTAAGAAAAGAAAGAAAGTTGTAGTGGTCACTGTGAGCTGAAGGGGTTAGAGGAACTTCAAGCTTTTTGACCAAGATCTTACTTATAGATTTTGAGTGGATGGCATGAATTAAAATTTTAGTTCGACTTAATTAAACCAAAAGAAGCACCGAGCCAGCTGAGTTTCACAACAACATAAGACTTTATTTTGATTTTTGACAACTCTATTGGAATAATCCAAACTTGAAATAAAAAAAGGTGGTGATGGACCTTCTTCTTAAAGTATTCTTGCAGTTGGTTTTATCTTCAACTTAAGGCGAATCTCTGGATATTTAGCAAGATTAATTCATGATTCGCTGCTCTTTGAATTTTTTAAACCGCACTACCTGATGCATTATCGTGAAAAGAAAAGAGGTCGTCTTTCTATATTGGGAATCGATGCTCCCTGTTCAATCTTTCTCTCTGCTTGTGATTTCTAACCAAATCTTATTATTGTTTCTACTAAAAGCTTGCAAGAAAGGATGGGTCCAATATATTGGAGGTACAGTGTACAAGTAACACAAATCTGAATTCTGAGAAGAGATTTGTAGTTTGTAGAGGATATTATTAACAAAAGGTACTGATGATGATCATGTCAAAGACGAATTGATGGTAATTGAATCAACTCATCAGCTATCTATCTCTAAAAATAAGGAATTCAAATGGGAAGCTAGCTAGAGTATTATGGGCATGCAGCTGTCTATACTATCTTGTGTTGTTAGCAATAATTGTAGTCTTTTTCACTATCATTTAATAGCGTTGGTGTCAACACCACACCAGGAGCTGGAGGATAAAAAAAAAAGAAAGAAAGAAACTAATAAACAATTGAGGCGAAGTGGGATTCCCTCAGGAAACATAGAAGTGATGGGCATTTGTTTGTTTGTTCCCACTGAAGAAAGCAAGAAAAGTAACACATGAGTGGATAGTCCAGTTGTTATAATTGGGTGCATTTCTGAGGAGGAGACCACTGCCATTCGTTTGTAGAGAAGAAGTGAAGAAGGAAAGTAGAAAGAGCAGTCTCGTTTAGAATTAAAAAAAAACCATGAAGTCATAAACTAGCATCCCCACTTTAGTGCAAATGGCCAGCCACATGGCTGGTTACTTGGTGAGACGCTTTTCTTTCTTTTGTTTATTTTTTTCTTCTTCTTCTATTTGAATTCCTTTTTTCTGTTTGCAGAAATGCCCCATGGAAGCTTCAAGAGGAAGAAATTATGTATGTGGAGGGGCTTATGTCTTTATGAGCTTGGTTGCACCATTGGGCTTGGCTTGGATCGACGAACCAGGCCAGTTAGCGTAGAACTGGATTTCAATAGCATCCAGACTCCAGAGAAATCTTGAAGCGGCAGTGGGCCTAAGCCGATCGATGTGCCTTGGACGGTTCAGCAAAGCGAGAGGGAAATGGGAATGCGTCAGCATATGGGATTAGTGGAGAATTAAGAAGAGTGTGGAGTAGAGAAATGTTGTTGATAAGGATGAGTTAGTGGATCCACTGATGCAAGGGCAAGGCTGAAAGGAAAGACGACTTCCAAAACCCAAAAAGTTAGTCATGCACCAGGAGAAAAGTTGTCTCTGCACCACCACCATTTGGTTCTCTTTTGCATTGACAATAGTACCCTAGTTGAGTACAAACTTTGTACTGAAATAAAATTTCTAAAGTTCTGGACTTGTCAAGTGGATGCTCACGCAAGTTGAGGCCATGATCATGATTGTCTTAATCTTGAGCTTGAAGTTAAGGTCTTCCTAGGTTTACTTGATTCCAGCAAATCGTTGGTAAATGGAAATCTGAGATGGAGCTAGAGTTGAGGTCTTCTTTTCAGTCGCCAACTATGATCCAGCATGGACATGGAATCTCAATGTGTGGAAAACAATTTTAAATTATCTGCTTTATTCAAGATATCAAACCTTTTTTTTTTTCTAGGGTGCCGTCTAGAGTAGCAAGATGAAGGGCATCATGGGGATATTGACATTTTTTTTTAAAGCTGATTTTCCTTCTCATCTCCAGTACCCAGCTGACACATTCATCAGCTATTTAAACACCACAACCAGAATCCAACTTCTCAAAGTTGCTGTTGTTGGATGGTTCATCCCATTGGGGAGAGGGTGGCCTGCGTGTTTATTGGCTTCTGGGAAGCTATGAAACTATTTTGGCAGGAATCTACACATGGGTCTTGAAAAGGAAGATAAATAAAGTATGGAGAGAGAGAGAGAGATATATATAGAGAGAGAGAGAGGCATTCAGATATCTCCTCCTCCAATCTATCATCAGTTTGTATATGCTGCTGGGCCATCAGCTTGCCTGCAGTCTAATTCCTTCTTTATCTTAAGCACCCACCTCAGCAAGCTTATTATGATGAAGTTTTCTAGAGCTAACAGCTGCAGCTTTTGGCTAAGGGCATAGCAAACCGGCAAGTCACAGAGAGGCTCAGAAGACTCGGAAAGGGTCTTTCTGGTTTTATTTCTTCCTTTTGTTATCGTTAATGTATTTCCTGCAAGAGAGAGTATGGGGAAATAATAAGCATTGGCGTTCTTGCTTTTGTAAGAAACTCCAGGTAGACATGGTGATTGATGTGTGAGAAATAATTAATCACTCGGTTGGCACTCAGTTGATTGGCAATGAAGTGCCAATCAGTACTCTGTTAATCGAGTAGCATATTATGAATGTAGCCACCAAGTTGCAGAATTAATTCTCTCTCTCTCTCTAGTGTATTTTGTTTGAATTCATGCTTCATGCAGAAGATGGCCATGGCCATATGTTTCGAGCCGATCAGCCAACGACGTAGTTAATTACTTAATTTTAAGGTAAGCAACTCTTTTGACAGTAGTATAAAGTAGGAACTAGGAAGTTGCAATTTCATCGAGGGCATCGACCAATTAAGCAAATCCAATATAGAAACCATACAAAACAAGAAATTCAGAGAAGCTGTTCAGTCAACCAGTGTGGTGTTGCGATGGTGCAAACTCAAACTTAAGTTTTCTGCAATTCCCATATATCTTCCTTTTCGGTTGCTTCCGTTCCAACTTCGTATATTTTCTTGAGTTTTGGGGTTCTCTGTTCTTTTCTCCTTGTTTTTTGGTAAATTATAAAGGCCCCCCGTAATATGGGTCAGTGACAAGGAACCCCTATACCTGGTGAGGGTGTCAATGGATCGGTTTTGGATTGGACCCCTTTCAGTTCAAAATTAATTTGGATGGATTGGACAAAAGACATATTGGATTGAATCAATCTGATCCAAAATATTTATTAGATTGGATTAGACCTAGTCCATTCATAATAAATTTATATTGGACTGGGATGGATTAAGCCAAATCTGATCCATTGATATAAGATAAGAATATAGGTGTCAATAGACCAGGTTTGGGTTGTAATCAATTTAAATCAAAATGAATTTGAACAGATTGAATGGTTCAGACATTGAATTGGAACGATTCAAAATAATCCAAAATATTCATTGGACCGGATTGGACCTCGTCCATTTATAATGGACTCACATTGGACTGGATCGGAATGAACCAAATCCAGTCCAATTGACACCCCTAGCCACTGGTTACGATTCTTGCATGTGTGTACCTGGGTCATGGATTTAAAGAATACAGACGAGAGGAGAGATGTAGAGATGATTGTGATGTTCCGTTTCTAATTTCTGGTCCTTTTAGTTTCTTGTTTCGTTTTGGTCCTTTTTTTTTTTTTCAAATCTTCAGTTCTAGAATTGCAAAGAAAAAGGAAAATCTTTTGAGGTTATGTGCTTGCACCACCTATTCTTCAGTTGTGATCAATACTCATTGTAAAGAGTATTAATGAGAATATGATGATAAACAAAAGAAATCTTCTGACTTTCTCACCTGTTCTGCAGTTCCGATCAATCGCAGTTTGGTTTGTTTCGAACATGTCCACATATGGCCTGGTCCTAGCATCTGGGTGTTCTGCAATTCTTACTTTCCTCCGACGATTAAAATCAGCCTATTCCTTCTGGCAAGAATTGATTAACAATGGGAAAAAAAGACTGTAAAGTCGTGATTAAAAGTATCCTATTCCTAACCGACAGATTTGATTTAAGATGGGATCTTGGTCGTAGGTGGGCTCAATTTGCTAGGAACAATGCTCCATTGACATCTGCATTTGAATAATTTTTCCTCGATTGAAATTGGGCTAGCAGGAGTTTGTCTTGGGGAGGCATAAATTCAGAAAGAAAGAAAAAAAATAAATAAAAGATTGATCGTTTCTTATCTCAGATTGTAACACTACGTTTCCGCCATTAAAACTCCGTAAGAAATATTCATCATAGATGGGAAGATTTTTATTGAATGGGGGGATTTTGAAAAATATACACAATGGATATCTGGCAAGAGGTGATGAAGGGTATTTATTGTTATTATTTAATATAAATATTAATAATAATAATAAAGCCATACAAGTTTAATTCAAAGAATGAAACGATCGATAAATTCGATAGTTGCAATGGTGTGAATCCTCCTTCAAATTGCTCACATTTGATTTCAGATTTCTTTCCTTTTTCTCCGTTCTTTTATTTTTTTATTTATTTTAAGGCTTGCTCAGCTTAGGTACTTGCTTTCTCAGCAACGTTAGTTCGGCTTGGACTTTGAACAAGAAGAATAGACTGTAGTGAAAATCAATTGTTACCGAAAAAAAAAAACAAAATATAATGTAAAGAAAGTAGTCAGATTTGGTTTTCTTTTTCGGCGAGATTGAAGTTATTTTGGGTCACTTAAGTTTTAACAGAGAATGACACGAAAAAGAAAATAGAGTAAGTTTAATAGGGTATTTTAGTAATTTAACGCTTTCCATTGTTACAAATTAAAGTATAACCCTATAATAAAAGGGGTTTTTGTAATTTACCTTTTTTTTTTGCCATTAATTTGTGATTTGTATAGGATAGGTAAGAATACTATCAAATGTCATCATTCAATCAAAAGACATGGTTAGCGGAGGTCGTTGTATATGAAAATGGGTTCCAAATGATGCCAAATTGATGACAACGACGAATAATTGAGAAAATAGCTTTGGCCTATATAATTTATTATTTTTACCCCAAAATAATAGAAGAATGTAAGATTGGGACTACTGGTCCGTAGTTTAGGAGTCAAAAGTCAAAGTCACCCAGAATCGTTACATGCATAAACCTGAGGGGTTTTTACCGTTCAGTCCACCCCTAGGTGAGCTATTAGTAGACTAGGGGTGGACTGAATCCTGCCTGTGATGCCAAATTCACGGGCAGGATACGGTTTATAGCATGGTTTTTAAAACTGGACTAGATCAGACAGTTGGACCGGAAAAATTGGGAATTAGTCAAGTGACTGATTTCAATTTTCCCCAAAATCGGGATTTCTTCAAAAACTATTGATTTGGTCAGCAAACCACTGATCCGAGTGGTTAATCATTTAAATGGTTTTGATTGTTTTTTATTTTTTTGTCAGGATGGGCCAACCGTTCAATTCGAACGATCGGACCCTTGACTGGTTCGGTTTTCGGGTCGGTTTTAAAAACCATGGTTTATAGGGGGGCTGCAAATCTAATTTCTGAGGGGGATTGCAGTCCAAAAATCCCTAAACTTAAAAGGACTAAAGGAGTTCTATTGATACTTCTTTCTCCACCTCCGGTTTTACAAATAAATTTCGGCCCAAAAATCTTGCCACTTGTTTAAAGTGATATTGGTTTCAGTCGGTGCAAACTCAGTGTTGGAACAGCTTTTACAGCCTTGCATTGGGAACATCTCTATACTTCTAACCTTTATTTTATGGAGAGATATTCCCAATGTAAGGCTATAAAGACTCTTTGAATGGGGCTTGCACTGATTGAATCCGATAGTAAGGCCGCATTGTGGGGTGGGGGGAGCTTCTATAACAGGCTTTTTGAGCTTTCTGCGTTTAAGAAGCCAAACCCAAAAGCCAAATTGAAACCATTTGGCATGTCAGCAGTAGCTTCTCCTTATGTAGGTGTTTGGCATCGGTATTGGGAACATCACACCATTTTCTTAGAAAAACAGTATTGGGCATGTGGAGTTGTAAGCACGGTTTATTTTTTGTTTGGAATCGGTGCTGCCACATAGGTGTTTTTTGAGAAAACAACACTGGTTTTGTTTCATTGTTTGGTACCAGTGTTGGTAGCAACATTTTCAACATTGATCTATATTGTTCAATGCCCAAGATAATGCCACATCATTGCATTGTTGGCAGCAATACACCGTTTTCCCAGAAAATATTAAATTTGGTGTTGCTCCAAACCACACTTTCCCGATTTCCAAGGCATGGTCTAGAGCAACGTTTTTTTCTAAAAAAATGGTACCAAACAAAAGGGTGTTGTTTGAAGCACCATTTTCTCTGATATGGCGTCTACATGGCACCGTTTTCTCAAGCATTGATGCCAAACATCGCCTAGGTATAATTTTAAAACATTTTTGGCGGAGAAGCAAAAGCTGTCTTTTATTGGCTTCTTGCCTCTGCTTATATATATTAAAGAATGGTTTTTAGGCTACAGCCCCCACCATTCAAACAAGTGAGCTTCTCATTTTCTAAAAAGCTAGACACGTGACAATTTATGAGAAATTCGTGCTAAAGCCCACAACCCACTAGTAGGCTACGGCCCCCCACCATTCTGGAAGACTAGACATGTGGCATTTTCTAAGAAGTTGCTACTAAAACCCACAACCCACTACCACCATTTTCAATCAATTCCTAAAAAAAATGCAAACAAATTCAAAAGTGGTTATCCACAACCACTTGCCTACATTAAAATATTTCTTGAAATTTTAATAATTATTTAAAATATTAATAAATATAAATTTAACATTACTAATTCATCGTACTTATAGAGTCATTCACTTGTTTATGTTTTAAACTACTATTTTTTTTTTACATTTTTAAATGTCTAAATTAACTCCCAGCTATGTAGAAAAGATATGATATAGAAAGAATTTTCCCATATCTTATCTTTTCTATATCATAGTCGAATAATACTTGAAAATGGGCTATCCTACTTGTTGAGGTTATACAAGTAGGATAGCCCATCCCCATACCTTCAACCCCTCCAAAGCCTGGTGGCTGCGGGATTTGATCCCGAGTCTCGGCTATAAACAGCCGAAGATCCATCAACTGAGCCATCATCAATTGGTTCAGTTGAATTTAAACAAATTGGATCTCATCCATGAGAGTTTTATCATTTTGAATCGAATTCAAATTGCAATTTGATATCATGGCCGAACGCTTAAATAATATATATTACAAATAAATGAATTAAATAATGTGTTGTTTCAATACCATTTGCAGCCCTAACAATACTGGTCCTTCTCTTCTTTACCTCACACTCACAGCACGTTTCTGTCGTGTATCTGAAATGTTTCCATATTTGTAAATTTTTACTCATAAGAAGATGTTCCCAATATACAGCTGAAACATGCTGTGAAGTCAGTGTGAGGCGTGCCTTGTGAGGAACAGATTTGGATTCTTGTTGGATGGGTCTAAAGTCCAAGCCCATTATAATTGAAGTTCCTCCATTTGGGCAACTGATGTATGCGGTGTAATCAAATTCGGTTTGCCGGACGGAAATTTTTAATCAATCTTAATTATTTTACAAATGTTTTCAATAAATGACTGATTCTGTATTGTTTCAAACTTTAAATATTAATACCAACATTCGGGCAAATATATGGCTGAAATTCTAAAATGTTGAAATCTCGGGCCAAACATGAAACAATTCATTCCATAATTTTTCATATTTTGTGTCTAGTCGTCGGTTTCAGTGTACCAAGTCCCTTAAACCTCCTCTGAGTTTTTTTGAAAAGGCCTTGAACCTCTCCTCAACTTTGACTTGTTCTTAAACCTCTCCACTCTTGGGGATTACTTGTAAGTGGACAAATACATTAAATGTCTATTATATCCATACTATATTCTTTCTGTCAAGTTAGTAAGTTTTTGTTAATTCCAGCTTTAGCCCTAAACTGTCGATACAAGTAAATTCGTTTTAGTATTTCATTTTTTATGATGTAAATAAACCCATTTTTGGGTAAAGAGAGGTTTAAGGGATTATTTTATTAAAGATTTAAAGGATTTTTTTTTTTTTGTTAAGAGCAAAATTGATATTATAATGCATTTAAATCCATGACATCAGCAGTTGATGTTAGATTTCTAAGCGTAGAGTAATAGAAGGGATGTATAGGCCCCTCTATCCCCAAGTCAAGGGAGATTTAAGGGCAAATCAAAATTGAGGAGAGGTTTAAGACCTCTATAGAAAACCCCAGGGGAGGTTGAAGGGATTTACCCTATTGAAAAAAAAAATCAACTATGATGCCAAAAAGAGTGATATCCGAAAAACTTATAACTAATCAACCATCATAAAAGTGATAATCAATTAAGCGTGTTTTCATCAGAAGTCTCAGGGGAGTTTGATTAAATTGGAATTTGCTCCTCACAAAGTGCATTCCTCCCTATCAATAAAAAACGGGGCGTGTTTTCATCATATCCCACTGTATATTGGGAACAAACATCTCCCAATGAATAAAAAACACAAGTATGTATTGTGAGGTGGGTGTAAGAGCAGTATCATGTCTTTAAAGCATTATAGATCTTTTCTTAAAAAGAAAAAACCATTATCCCATGAAGGTTAGATAAAATCATACGTATTAGCAAACACCCGTTAAATTGACATTGCAAAACCCTAAACCGTTTTTTAATGAACTTGTCAGAAAATGAGAACCCCACTATTAACCATTCAATGGGTCTCATTTGGAAGATCATACCAATTCACTAGTCACTCCAACCCACTACAGACTACAGCAGATTAACATTACTATCGACTCCGCACAAGTATTACTGTTAGTTTTGACAAATACACAGTTTTCACCATGATGATAGAATGTAATAATGAAACAACTTCAGCACATGTTGATATCACTCAAGTGTAGAATTTACAGATGAAAGGATTCAACTGAACATCTATGGCTAACACCCCACTCGCCATATCCATCTCTAGCCAGAAACCTCACACCCAGCACCGCACTTCTTGATCAATGTAGAAGCTTGAGAAGTAATTAGAGACGTAATATTACACACAGCGCAGCTCGATATATGTAAACCAACAAGAAAAATAACAAATTATGCAATAGGATTCATTGTAGATGGCTCTTCATGTTTTCCATGATCCTCGATCTGCCTTTAAGAGAGAAGCATAGAGTAATTCATTCCATGTATCTGGTACACCTGGCAAACACCAGTGACTGCAATCCTGAGATTTCTCAGCAGCAATCTGTTCCTCTACCGTTTTGTATACCTTTCTATAAATAGAAGGATGCCCGTCCTTTCTGTAATCCGTAAGCCTACTGATGTTCAGATATATCACAGGAGTGTGCATTTGTTGCAGCACATGATCTAGAGCTCTCATTTTTGAAGGGTACTTTCCCAAGTATGTCTCGTTAAAGATTGGCTCACTTTCCTTGTGACACTGCCCGCCTGAGTTCCATTGGCCACCTCTGCAAACGGATAAAACAACTCAGTAACAGCCATATTGTGCAAATATGAAAATGAAATAAAGAGAGTATCCTTTCTCTTGTTCTTTTTCTTTGCTTTATTCATTCTTCACCAGTAGCACATCAGAGACATAAAATAAATAAATTCTGTAACTTTGGTAGAATAGCATGCTGCTACAGGTGGTGGTTATAAGGGGGTACTTTCTGTAGGACTTCGACTCGATATTTGCCGAGAAATACTTGATCCAAACTGTATAAATGTGCAGAGCTATCCAATGGAAAAAGACTATTTTTACATGGACTATGGTTCCTATCATGGTGATCCATGTCAAAATCCAACAGTGTTGTGGAAAAGGTACAAGTATAAAGGCGCCACATTGGTAAAACCTTTCAGTTTCTGCTATGTTCTGAATTATAACATCATATGGAAATCTAAACTGTCATATATGCAACCAAGTTACATGCAATGGTTTGTATCAGTATATTGCCAGCACACAGAAGGTGGTCTTTTTGCTGGTTACATTTTTTCTTTTCAACTCAATATTTTAGGAGGGAGGTCGGCACAATCCACGAATTTGAGACTTTTACTTTGAATTTGGCGGTTGATCCCATTAGGCCATGCTAAAAGATTTCCTTGTATGCTGTTTACTGATCCTACCACTATTGTTTTGTTTTTCTTATATCTAATCCACAAACTGACAAAAGTCGGTTTTTTTTTTTTTGAAAATAAACTTTAAATTTTTAAAAGAAAAAGAACACAATACGAAGGTGATAAGAAATCACGAGAGAGAGAGACAGACAGACAGACACTGGACACTCAAAACACCTATCAAAAACAAAACAAACATACTAGACCTCCAACAACCAAAAACCAACAGACCGAAACAAAGGGCAACAAAAACAGCCTTTTGCCCCTGATTCAAAAGACTCCCGCACACCTCCACCTTTCTGGAACCGAACACTGATCACCACTAGCCCTCTCCTCAAACCTCCTCCTCAAGACCTTCCTCCTGACCTTTGTCTTATTCATTCCACGTTTCTCCCCCTCCCCCAATAACCACTTTCTTCAGCCTCTCTTCTCTCCTCTCAAACTCCTCAAAGGCTTTCCTAGCAAACCCCTCCCCACCCCAAAAAGATAGCCCAAGCTTCTTACCAGTTTCTACATCTCTCCACAATCTCTTCATTGGGCAAACTTCTTGCCCTATCCACCTTTTTGTCAGATTTCGGAACCAACACATCCTTGACAGAATCGGACTCTGCACCATTATTCTCCTCATCCTGCTGAACGTCCCCCACCTGAGGTTCAAAACTAACAAGAGTTTGAGCCTCAATCCCTCCTCCATCAACAGCAATCGTCCCAACTTTCTCCACACTTCTTCTCTTGTACACATTTTTTGAAATTCTTTGTAGGTCCTACCCCTACCAACCCAAGTTTCAGTCGAGAGAACACTTTAGTAATGTGAATCATTTGGGAATTTCTTGAACCCCAAGGTTTCTTTGTCACCACATCCATTGCAGCATCCAAAGCCTTCACATCAATCTTCCTCCTTCATCCTAGATCTACCTCAAACCTACCAATCACCACTTCTTCGAACTTAAGATAATCCTCCTTTCTCTCTAGCTGGTTGCAGTCCCTGCAAAACTGCAGTATCAATCGACCTGTCCTCTTACTTTCTTCCAACACTCTTCCCCCCTCCCCCTTAAATCCCTCTCGCAGCTTCCTTTTCCCCCTCCGTCAACCCAACCCTTACTTCCTTACAATCCTTCCCCTACAATCTTTACAGACTTCTTGTTAGAGTCAAAATCGATTTCCTGGGCTAATAAAGCTTCAGCCTCCTTATTTTCCTCTACTTCTGAGGCTAACTTGGGCCACCCACCATGCGATCGCAAAGATCAGGGGCTCCACTTGCAGCAAGATCGCTTCATGACTTCTCACCTTCAGGGATCACTGAACCAGTACTCAAAACAGTTTTCTTTCCTTTTGAATCGTATTTGAAGATCTCCCAAACCCATCTTTCTTCCTTCCTTTCTCGTTTCTTGTCCGAATTCCCTCTCGAAATCCCAAACTTATTCTTTTGTTGTTTGAAGCTGCAAAGAGACCATAGTTTTCAAGGTGCCAAGGCAAGGCTAGGCGACTGGGGGGCGCCTTGTCGCCTAGTCGCCTAGGCGCCCGCCTAGGCGGTGGATGTTTTTATGTTAAAAACATAGATCCTAGGGTAGTTCCCTAGGTACCATAACCATTTCTTTAATAATTATTCATGATTTTCATAAGAAAAGTATAAATTTCATATTAAAGTATAGAAAATCAACATATTCATGAGAAGAAAAGGAAGAATTAATGAAAGAAAGTGTTTAAAGTAGAATTAATGAAAGAAAGCAGAGCCTAGTGGAAGGGGTTTAGATTGTAAATTTGCAGATTTCAACAGCATAACCACAAAAACAAATATCATTGTCATTGTCATCTAAGCCTTCTCCCAACCATACAGGGTTGGCTACAGGAAGCCTGTTTTGCTATTCCATTCTGTTCAATGCCTTCTCCGTTGTTAAATTATGGGCACCTAAATCATTACTTTTATTAATTCCACCCAAGTCCTTTCTAGTTTTCCCCTAGCTCTTCTAGCCCCTTCAACCTGTAACAGACCACTTTTTCTAAAGGGTGCTGTAGATGATCTTTAACAATGGATATGGTTAAACAGAACAGAGTGGTGAAATAGGATTCATGTAGTAACGTCATATAAGTGGAAGAAGGTTTGGATGACAATGATGTGCTGTAGATGGTTTTTTATACTTGTGATAAACCATCTCAATCTACTTTCTCTCATTTCATCACCTATTGGAACTACTTCTAGGTTTCTTTGTATTTCTTCATTTCTAACTCTGTCCTTTCTAGACTTATCATTTATCCATCTAACCATTTGCATTTCTAATGCACTTATTTTTTGAACATGCTGTTTCTTAACTACCTACACTTTGCTCCACACAACATATCTGGCCTTACAACTGTCTCATAGAATTTTCCTTTTAGCCAAAGTGGTATTTGCCTATCATATAAGACTCCAGATGCACCCCTCCATTTTTACCCATCTTGCTCTAATTCTATGGGTGGTGTCTCCTCAATCTGTTCTTTGTTATGAATTATTGAACCAAGATAATGAAAATAAATGTAACAAAAGTATATTTTGTTCTCAGAGCAAAAGTAAGTGATCTTTTCCTTTCTTTCAATATCAGCAATGCACTGTACTGAATATGTGCCCCGCTGTTTACCAAATTGCCTATGATTAGATATAGCCATATAAATAGAACTATACTTTCAAAATATCAAGGTAATATAGAAAATATTTTAGATATATGAATGTTATATACTTGATTACAGCTATCACGTGGAAAAGAATAAATTCCTTGAAGTTCCTCTTATAATAATAAACTACATTTAAGCAACAAGTTATGGTAGAGAGACACTGGCCCATGGGCCCATCCAGGATTAACAGCACACTACTTTCTTTTTCCTTATCCTGTTTATTTATTTACATTTCCACAGGGGATGGGGGGCTTCGTTCCAAATGGAGGCATTTTACCTCATTCTGCTAAGGGCCCGCAAATAGGATCTCGTCACGGGTCGGTCCACGGGGAAAACCTCCTGTTTTCCCTTGTTCCTCCCTTTTCTTGAGGAACCTATCTTGGCGCCCTAATGGTGATTTGTCCAAGAGATCACCAACTCTCCTCTGTTCCTTCTTGACTGAAAATTTCGATGCCTTTATTGAATATCATCAGCTCCTTAAATAGGAGATTACAAGAAGATAAGAGTCCTACTTTTAGGAAGACTCCCTACTAATCTATACTACTGAACAGATAAGATAAGAACACTGAACAGATAAGACTCCCTACTAATCCATACTACTGGAAACAAATAAGATAAGAATACTGAACAGATAAGATAGAAATCTAGCTAGAATTAGATAAGATGAGAATCAGCAAATCTTGCACCCTTTATTGCTGCTGCCGGCGGCGATATTTCTTCCCAATAAAAGCGTCCACATCATTACTCCCCTCCTGGACTAAGAACTTGTCCTCAAGCTCGAAACCAGGATATGTGTCTTGAAACTCAGTCAAAGGGATCCAAGTAGCTTCGGCTGATGGTAAGCAGGCCCATTCCACCAGGACATCAAGAACACCCCGATTGATTCTGGAGCAAACAAGAGCCCGAGGTTGGGGAATGAGTTTGCCCTCTTTCAAGGGTGGTAAGGGGGGAACTCTGTTAGGAGGAATACCCTTAAACGGCTTGAGCAAGGAAATGTGGAAAACATCATGGATCCTACTGTGCTCTGGCAGTTCCAGCTGGTATGCAACCGTACCAATCCGCCGCAAAACCTTGAAAGGGTCCATAAAATTTAGGAGCTAATTTAGGAGCAGCCCTGTGACCCAAGGAGCGTTGTCGGTAGGGCTGAAGCTTCAACCAAACAAACTGTCCCGGTTCAAATGACAATTCCCGATGATGTTGGTCATAGGCATGCTTCATGCGTAGTTGTGCCTGTTGTAAGCGAAGAGAAACTTCAACTAGAAGGGCATCGCGCTCTCATAGGGAACGATCAATCTCCTCCAAACGAGTAGAACCGGGTTCATAGGATAACAAACGAGGAGGGTCACGGCCATAGACGACCCGGAAAGGTGTCATTCCTAGGGAAGAATGATAGGCAGTGTTATAACAATACTCGGCCCAAGGAAGCCAATCAACCCACCATCGCGGTTGATCTCCAACAAAACAACGGAGATACATTTCGATCGTTCGGTTCACTACCTCCGTTTGCCCGTCCGACTGAGGATGATATGCGGAAGAGAAAGCTAAGGTGGTACCATGTAACCAAAACAATTCCTTCCAGAAGGTACTAGTAAAAACTGGGTCCCTGTTGCTGACAATAGATTCCAGTAACCCATGTAGACGGAAAACATGAGTAAATAAAAACGTGGGCGACGGAAGTAGCACTGTACAGATGTGACAGAGGGAT